CAAGACCTTGGAACAGCCATGCGTTGCCAATTGCAACACCATTGCAGCTCAGGAAATCCAGAATGATGTTCAGCCTGCCATCGCCGGTTTCCCAAAGAGGAGGCCAAGAAGCTGCCTTGGAGAGAAAAACATCGAGAAACGTGCTGAAAAGGCCAGGAGCGAGGACGCTACTAGGGGCTCCTGGCCCAGGAAGAAGCTACTTAGGGGCTCCTGGCATCCACCTGAGTGATGCCCATGACATCGGCGACATCCACGCAACGATGACATCGGCGCCAGGACACCCTACGCCAGGGCCGCAGTGCTGTGCGGCGGAGGGCACCCATGATTTGGCCCATGCTTACGCAGGACAAAGTCTTGGTGCCTCGGCGTGTGATGGCCGGGTCGAATTGGTCCATGGGGCGGAGTGGGTACAACCCGCCTCTAAAATGAATGTGTTACTGAGCAAAGGTGGTGGTCTAAGGTAGTGGGTCTAAGGGTATCAAAGGGTGAAAGATATCCGATATTGTGTGGTGTTTCATTTGTCGATGACATTCGGACCTAAGACCAGAACTGTTGCTTGTGATTTTAGATACTGTAATTTACTGTAATATTGTTATTATTGTTTTTTTCGTGTTATTACTATATATAATAGAGTATGTATGTATGCAAGTTTTACTGGTTCGTCCTGACCTTTAGCTGCTCAGTTCTGCTCAAAATTGCTCAACTCATCATGTGAACCCTTTTTCGCGTGACTAGGGGCGTCCTTGATCTGTTTATAATTTGCAAACACCCTGAACTCATGTATCCGTTTTGGAGGTCGTGGGAGTAGATCCACATGCCATGACATTTGTCCAATCTTTGTCGCGGAGGTCGGCAGAGGTGCAAAATGGTGCAGGCTGAAACAAGCTTGTCACAAGAGTGCCATGCAGTTAGTTAAGTTTTCCACATCATGCAATCATAAGCAAACACAAACAAAAGGTTCGGACGGGAATCCTTTCACACCCTGATCAAAGTTCTTGGTTCCACGACTGGAATGGCGCAACATGAAATCATGATACCATGATATCAAAAGTGCAGGAAAATGCTTTGGAAGACAAGCGACTCAGCGAGGTTTGATACGTTTTTCCATGGCGCAATGCAACACAAAAGTAAAGAATAGTGCACAGAAGATGAAAGATGTTTTCTTGCACCTCTGAGGTCGCAGCACATGAGGTGAATGTCGGGGCACCTGGTGAGAACTGGAAGACTTCGTAAGTAAGTCGATATGGAAGACTATTGGAGGACCGGGCTGCCTTCACCTCGTTCCCTCACTATATATGTAAATTGAAATTGCGGCAGCGCAGTCTGAACAGTTTGTTTGGCAGTTCTTTGAGTGGGCGCATCCAAAGAAATCTCTATATGTGCCACCTACAGACCTGGCTGGTGAAAAGGCTTCCCAGGTGGTTTGGGGTGAAGATCATGACATGCAAGGATCAGAAGGTTTGTGCTTGGTGTGATCCACGGGCTTTCCACTGCCAGCCACTTGAGCTCAGAGCACCCCAAGAGCCTTGACACATAGGCTTTCCTTAAAACAAGGCACCGAATTGAGGAGAGTGGATGGTGGAAGATTCAGGGAAAACAGCCATGCATGCGCTGAAAGCATACTCTTGTTGGTCCAGTTAAAGAAGGACGATGTTACAAAAGAACTAGAAGGGAAGCAGCTGCCAAGCTACACACGCCCCACTGTAGAATGTTTACAGCCAGTGGTTCTAAGACTATGTACTGGTGGATCCACTGGGAAAGCTTGGATCACTCCTATCACCAATTGCTTTCCCCCCGAGATGTGCAGCGAGGTGCGCCCGACTTATTACAACGAGGAGTCCCGAGATGTTTGGGATGGCAACAACCGGCGACCTGGCTGTTCGGATGGGCGACATAGCAGCCGAACTGTGCAATCGAATGATGAGGGAGGATTTTTTGTGATTGATACTGTACATCACAAGAAGAGTTTTCCGATCGTAAGTCACACGTCGTGTGCGTCCTTTATGGTGACCTGCAATTGCCCGGGTGACAAGTGACAAAGAAAGCTATGTTGGTGCAGTGAAGCCATGGTGGCCTGCCATGGCAAGGATCATCAAGGATCTATGGACAGCAAAGACATCGACCTACATGGACCCTTGGGCATCACAGGAACTGATGCGCCAATGTTCTGGTTCAAAAAACTAGGTTTTGCAATGTTTGGAACAGAACTCCAAAGCAACGCTTCGAACCATGTTTGTTGGCAGACCTTTGCAGAATCAAGGTGGTTGCATGGGAGACTTGTTATCTTGTTCAATCCGACCAGTTTCAATCGGTTTGGTCTTTCGAGGATAGGGGATTCTTTCGCGGGTAAGATGTGCTGAGACTCCGCATCCAGAATCGACCCCTTGCTTCAACTTTTAGTGTACATGGTTATATATTAAATCATAGGTGGTCTTCCAATGCCATGATTGCCATATTGCCATCCAAACATGTCATGGCCATCCGGTGCCAAGCCGGCACGAGCTGTGCTCGTGCTGCGCAACTCGGCACATGTGCGGCGCAGCGCTGAGGTGGCTTCGCGAGACCTGGCTTTGGGACGCGGATCCCCGTGGTCGGCCGCCAGAGGCCAAGGAGCTCCGCATGGACAGCATGGGGCAACTCCGACTGCCACGGATGAACAGCGCCTCCGCCGACTTTGGGGCACCGGGTCGAATGCGGGGCGCACGCGGGAGGCTGACAGTGGTGGTTGGTGAAAGGTGTTGCAATCGGAATGTTTGATGAAATGATAGGGGGCTACATGGATTTAACTTAGGGAGCTAATAGGCTAACAGGGCTCCTCATCCCTGTGAAACCGGTATTTGTGCTTTTTTGATGTTTGTTTTCGGTAACGAGAGGTAGACAGGTTTGCTCAGTTGGAAAAGAACATTTCGGCAACTAGTGTGCTTGAATCCATTTGAGCATGAGGATGCTAGTTTGTTTCTTGGTGTTCAAGACATTTTGAAACAATCAGCAGTTGCTTTGACTTGCGAGTTGTTTGCATGCTGCTTTCCACAAAAAAGTTGTTTGTGGGACAGAAGCACTTGTTAAAGGATGACTGATCCGTTGAACTCTATCGCTGCCAGGCGGGTCTTTGAGTCCTGCTTGGAAGGATGCTCAACTGGATTTTCAGTGGCAGCACCTAAGAGCCAAAACTGGAGCTTGAAGGAACTCACTTTGCAGTGTCACGTGTTCCTCATTGAGTAATTATTACATATTGGGTTCATTGAAAGAGCCTTATACCTTATGTTAACAAACAGGCCTTTCATGTATTTGACCCCTGCTCTGTGCAAAAATTGCTGCGGACCAGGCTCATCCAGGCACCCAAAAGCACACCAGCACACATGGGGGGGCAGTCGCTTTGGGCCCACTTCTTGGGACCTCCAAATTTGGACCATACTGTGGAAGCAGAGCATGGCAGGGCTAGGTTTGAGTTGGGTGGAGCATCCGGGTCAGTGCATAGGCTTCACCCTTGAATATATAAAGTACATTAAAGTACAATGTTGTTTGAGATGAAGCTCTCTTGGACACCAATCAGTCAAGGGATGTTGGTCTATCACCCGCACAAATGCCAAACAACACATCCCGAGTACCTGAGACTGAGCGCAGAATGCGCAAGTTGGGAAGCCTCAGCACTGATACAGTGACCCAGCTAAACCAGACTGTGACCACCAATGTCCCAAAGAGATAGACAAGGCATGACAAGGCCGTGTTTCTTTGCTTAAAGATTATGGGACATTTACTGTATCGATAGAAGTTGTCGGAATGTCCTTGAAACAAGCTACTAGGAGAGGGCATCACTACTAGTAGCTCCTGGCATTACTACCAGGATCATTCTTACTACTAGGAACAAGAAGCCTGTTGTGGGAATGTCCATTACTCGTTCAAGATGCTTCAAGTTTGTGGGACCTAGCAGCCAAGATCGGAAGATGAACCTGTACACCACACATACTGGCAGAGACTGCTGATATGGAACATGTCTAACGCAAGAAGAACATGAGTTATAGAGTGGACACATGCGGAACATAATCATGATCCATAATATGTATGTGTGCGTGTTCATGCTTTGTTAGATTATCACTTAAATTTAGATTCTGTACTGGACCATATTACGGACAAAGGCCCCATGACCAGTTCGTGAGTTGACAAAGGAAAGCCCTCGCCCAGGATGCAACCCCTATCTTTGACGATTGACACTGGAGTTCCACCGGAGAGTTCCATGGCCGACAGCTACGGGCACCTTCAATGGAGGTGTTCTCCGGCAGTGTTTGAACTGTAGAGTCAATGGCAGATGCTGGGAGGCTTATGGAGTAACCTTTGCATGTTAGTAACAAACATTAAAAAAAGCAGATTTGCGTCATGCTTGATATGTTTTGATAACATATGCTCCGAAGCAAAAAGTGTTGAGTGTTGAGTCATGCTCTCCGCCCCAGAGCTTTCATGTGCACAGGTTGCTCGGCTGAGCAATGAAGAGAATGGTATAAAAATGAGAACGATCGTCCGACCGTTGCAGGGGAATGTCGAGCTGGGGACGCACTACCGGTCCTACCGCACCATGACATCGAGAGCGGCACAAAGAGCGATCAATCGAGTGTGTGTGCGATCCTTATTGGTGTTGATGAAGGGCGAAAGGACAAGGCCGAGCCAATGTTGAGATCTGCGACTGGCGATTGGAATCCAGAACAGCTTGCCGCTGTGCTCCGACCTGAAGCGAGAAAAGTGATGCCAAAAGGGCCACGGTGTTGAGTTGGAGAACTAGAGACTCTCCTGAAACTGGTGTCAGGTCTTTGAGTAACTGCAACTTTCCACTTTGCCGGCCAAGGCCGGCCAAGGATCCAGAGTAAGACGTCAAAACGATCACCTCCTTCGCTTGATCCGTTGCCCAGCATGGCAGGTCACCGGTCATCGCTGGTCATCACCGGTGAACGGGTAAGGACCTGTCCGCCACCCGTGGTCGCATCACGGATCGCTGAGCCAACCGCAAGGCCCAAAGCAACCTGGCTGTGCTGTGTGCAGAGAACCAGGACTTCAGCCAGGCTTTGTACTGGTGGAACGAGGCGGGTGGCCCCGATGGGTGAGGGCCAAGTTGAGAGCGACCTGGAGGGGAACAGTATAGAACACTAGTTCTTTTTGGGCTCCATATGTGTAGATCCTTTGGTCCATGTGACCATGTTTTCTGGACATTTTACTTTTCTTGGGGGCTGGAAAAGATGGAGCTCTGCAGTGGCAGGATTCATCGATGGATATCAGTGGTATTTGTAGATTGCCGTGCGATGGTCGTAGTTGTTTGGCAGCTATATGAATCTATATCATACTATAAACAAGCTCCGTCTTGAACTTGAACAGCTCCATACAGCTCCAATAGACCCTACACCCTCTGTGGTCATGCCCACATTGTTTTGAACGCCTTGCTTTGTGCCTCAGCCATCTATGTGGCTTACGTCGAAGCTTAGAGTTGGACGGACGCAAGCTCTACAGTGACTCCCAGCTACCTTGAAATCATGGCCATGTGTTGCCAGTCTTTGTATGTCTCCTGTTATCGCTTTGCATCCTTTGCCCCAGACCCTCTGATGCATTCCAATAGTATCCAAGTACTACTATTAACATATATATATATTATTATGCAAGGCAATAAGTATGCAATCTTGCTTGAAAGCAAAGTTGTAGTTTGCGCGTAGAGACCGAGACCCACATGAAATTGTTTTTGCAAGCCATGAAATCCTAAATGGAGAGAATCAATTCAAACTCTCACTCTTGCCTTTCTCGGCGCAAAACACAAATCAGCCGGGTTTCCGCAAGAATTGCCATAGTCATAGTCCTTCGGATCCCTGCGTTGCCATGGCTCAGGGTTGGACGCTCGACGGAGTGGCTGCTCTGTGGGTGTTGACTTCATGCTCAGATGTTTGAACTTGTGCACAGCTTAGCAGTACCCAAGTCAGTACCCATTATATAGGTAGTTGCTTCTACTCGTTTCCAGTTGTAAGGGCAGGGATTCTTGTTTCTCCGCCGCCGGCATTCAAAAAGTGAGAGTGACATTCGAAAAGTAGAGTGGCTCCTCCTGAACCAACAACTCGTTCTGTCACGCCTTGAATCTTGGATGATCTTGGGAACCTCATCCCACTGGAATCGACTGGAGGAATTTTGTGAAGCCCAATCGCCAGTCAACTTAAGAACACCCTTCAGCTATTCCCTAGTGACTCTAGTGCTTTTGGCAAAACATCGACAAACCATCCTATCAGGACCATCTCAAGCAACAAAAGATAACAAAACCATTTTGCACCCCAATCATGAACATGTGACTTTTCGAGTATAGCTCCATGACTTTTCACGTTCCTTTTCCGGTCAGGAAGGCCTTCACGCCGAAGGAGGTGGATACTAGGCTTTGCCAAGCCAGGACTTGGTGTCATGGCCGAGGACCGGGTGAGACGACGCTGGACTCCGATTCCACTGCTGGATGCGGCGATCAAACAGCTCAGCCGCGCAGCGCTGTGATGCGGCGTGTATCGGCCAGGGCGGTCCCACTGTTTGGAAGAGTCGAAAGTGGCGAGGACCATCGTCTATTTTCTCCACAGGTCATCCAACGAGATGTTCTGGGTTTCGATTCACCCATTTAACACGAGTTCAGGCACGGAGGATGCCACATGGATGCCAGTGGGTCATCCATGCAGTGTATCGTTCGTGGCGATTCGATCGTGAACATTCGGACGGAGCCCAGTTCTTCATCGGGAACAAGGGATTGAATGTTCAAGACATCCGTCAGGTAGAATGACAGCAAGTTTACAGCAAAGGGGTGGGAAGGGAGGTCGAAGATGGTCGAAGTAATGTTCTGTGCTGGGTTCAGACACTTTTGCGATTTCAGCATTTGGATGTTCAACCTGTACCTGGGTTCAAAGTTCAAACCACCAAACAGACTTGAATCAGGAGGCCAATGCACTAACGTGGCCACCTCGGAGCATCGTTTGTGTACCAGCCACGAGAAGCAGCGCCATGGTTTAGTCTGCCGAGGGAAGTTTGGCGGAGGGTTGGCAACCCTTTGTGCAAGATGTAGATGTATGTGTATATACATAATATATATAATATACTGTATATTGGGGAATTCGGAACGAATGTAGTTTTTTGAGAACTCTTGACTTGCCAGTTTCTTTTCAATTTAGTGGTCTCAATGACCCTTCAGCTCTTCCGGGTCAAAGAATCACAGCCACAATGAGGTGGCTGTGAAGGGTAAAGATAGCCGGCTGCTGCCATGACGATGCTGTCACAGCAGGCATTGCAAGATGCCATCACTGCGACGGTGCAAGCGAGCGGAAGTGCTCCTGAGGACCAAGCTGGACTTGAAGAGGCGCTTTTGACGCTTCGAAGCCGCATCCGATCGGCAGGACGATTAGATACTCTAGTTCAGCAGAGAGCAGGCCTGAGCCGAGCCTTGGGCCCCTTGGTGACTTGGATTGATCGTGAACCTCTACTTAGGACCTTAGACCAAGGAACTCGTTCTGACCTGCTCTGGAATCTCTTCACTGCGGGTGTTTCACGAACGCAATCGGCGGAGTCTTTCCCGCTGATCACAGGAGATGAGGCCCAGTGGAGTGACTTGGTGAGTGGCTTGTCCTCAGCTGCACCTCCACCTGAAGTGATGGTGCAAAGATCGGCAACCGGCATTTTACACCTGCAGGTTTTGCTCCTTGGCTTGATTTGCTTAGCAGCTGACCCTTGGATGCCGTCTGATAGATTTCGCTTTTACACCACTGCGGGCGGCACATTTTTGGTCGCCTGTGCTGGGATGATGTGGACGTTTGGATGGACTACGTTTCCGGGGGGGTCAAAGTCCTAGTATCCCTAGTCGCAACCCAAGCCCAGGCGTTTTGAACCCTGGAGCAAGAGCTTTTGAACCAGTGGGGGAAATGCCACCCCTTGAACCTTTGCCAGAAGATGTGCCCTTTGATCACCCGCCAACTGGTGTGCCTCCGGTGCCGAGCACAGAGCAGCAGGTTGGAATGCATCGCATGACATCTCAGGCTCCCTTGACTAGCTGGACCATAGGACAACGGTGCAGGCTGCTAGCTATTCCTCCTTACAACAGCTTAGCTGGGCAGTGTGGTAGAGTCAGCAGTGTCAAGCCCGAGACATTGGGCATTCAGTTGGACAGTGGTTTGACTTTACAAGACGTGCCACCTAGGGCAATCATTGCAGAGACAACGGTTGACACAACAAACACTGCATCGACGGAGGCAAGCAACCTGACCTATGCACCACTGGCGGGCCTGGGAGGAGGGTCTACCAGACTGCAACTCCAAGCAGCACGCCCCAAGGACGCCGTGATCAAGGCACATGGGTTGGCAGCTACGACCCCGCAATGGGGGGCGTTGTTCTGGCAGGCCGTGCGAAATGAAAAGGAGATATATGGTTTAGAACCTGAACTGGGTAATGTCTTGCAAAGCCACGGGTACGTGGGTGATGCAACGATTGGACCTCCACGACCAGAAGAACTTCGAAAGTCGTTGCAAGAGATCGAGACATTAGGAGCTCCAGCTCATGGCACGGGTGGAACTTATGCCAGGATTGCAGATGTCAACCATGGCGAGAACCCGGAGCAGATGGCATGGCACCTCAAGCTTCCTGCAGACCTACAACGTGCTGCCCCTGAGCTTTATAGAAACATCCGGGCAGAAGGGGTCTCCTCGGTCCGCCAATGGGTGAACGACCAACACCCAACCCTTGAGGCCAAACAAACTGCTGGATACCAAGACTTGTTTTCGGCGGCCACCATCATCGATTTCGAATTAGCAGATTGCAAGTCCGAAGCAGCGGTGATGCATAAACTGGCTACATCAGACTCATTGGAAATCCAGCTGAGGAAGTTGGGCTCCCATGTCAGGAGAACTAAAGACAAGTTCGGAGCCAGCCGAATGCTAGGAGTCCGTGCACCAGGTTCGCAATCTGACATAGCACCAAAGTGGCTGCTAGATGAGGCCAACCTGTACTCCAAGGTTGAATGGCAGCGTACAGAGCGCGGCCAGAAGATGTCTCGACAAGATCATGGAGATCATGGGCCGAAGACCAAGTTCGCAGGCAAATTCAGAGGACGTGGAGGCGGCAGCAAAGGAGGTGGAAAGGGAAGCAAGGGGGGGTCTTCTGGCCCCCCCAAGACTCAGGGGTGACCAGATGCAAAGCCAGCCATCCTCGACGGTCTGCCGGGGGTGGTTGTGGAAACAATGCATGAGCAGACCAACCAACACACGGTCTCTGAGTTGAAGGCCGTGGAGGAATTCAAAGAGAAGCTCAATGATTGGGCTTTACTCCCCTTGCCTTATCCACCAAGGCCTGAATGGAGTCCCAAGCGCTCTCCGAGGTTGAGACAAAGATTGAAGCGAAGGCTTGCAGCCTGGAGAGTGACAATGGGCATCGTGAAGACCATCAACGGCCTGGATGAGGGACGAGTTGCCAGTAAGCTGTCGACACCTGATGCAGCAGGAGGGAGGACCCGAATGAAGGTCACAGCTGCCAGGTCTCTTGCGCTGCAGCATCTTCTTCGTGAGGGAGCTACAGTTGCACGGGAACGCCGGAGCCTTGGCTTGACAGGCGTCCAGATCTCTGAAGCTGTGAAACAACTCCTTAAACAACCTATGGATGAACTAGGTTATTTGAAGATTAGTGATGTCAAGCAGGTCCCGTTGATTGCTGACCGAATTGCCGAACCAGCCTGTGAAGCGTCGATCGACATGCTTTCAACGTTGCCCCAAGAGGACTCGTGTTTCTATGCCCAGGAGTGCAATGTCGTTGACCCCGTCGGAAAGTGTGAGGTGTTCTTTAGAGAGGCCGAACGTCACTACGGTTTCATAGGGGGCACGGAAGAGGAATACCTCAAATACCTGGGCAGGGACGATGTGAAGTACCTCTGGGAGTGGGACACGATGGATGGCATCCGCGCCATTGCAGGCGTGTCGGCAGTGCCAAAGAAAGATCCACTCAAACAACGAAAGCTCGTCATGCAGGTGGCTTCAAACTACATGTTTGCTGACCCTTCGTCACGAGCGCATTTAGGCATGTGTGGGGGCGCTGCACTTTCACGTTGTTTTTGTCCTTCAGATAGCATGCATGTTGCACTGTGTGATGAAGACTCAGCCTTCACATTTGTAAAGGTTCCTGAGTGGATGTCACGATGGCAGGGAGGACCTCCAGTGTTAGCAGTTAGGGCTTGGCATCTTCTACCTGCTGAAGTCAAAGCACGTATTCAAGATCCCTCTGTAGAATTTGTATCACCACGCTACCTACGATTGGCCATGGGGGGGATCCCACTCAGTGTACATCCTGATGCGCATCAACATTGAGCACATAGGCCGCTCCCTCATGCAGTATGTCCAAGACAATTCGTTGAAGAATACCTACCCCCCAGCTTCCGACAACGCTCAGGCGATCACAGGTGAACCTCGTGATGGTGAGAGCACGGAGATCTTGTCAGATGAGGCCTGGTCAAAGTTGCAAGACAAGCGGAAGGGGGATAGCGACACAGTGGGAGCTTCAGGCTACACAGTTCAAGGTTGGTGCGATGAAGTTCGAAGAGTTAAACAACTGCCAGGCCGCACCATGGTGATCATGCACTTCTTTGCCGGCGACCGCAGGCCAGGAGACATAGAAGAACATGTGCGTAGGGAAGCGGAGAAGTCGGGCCTTCGTATTTTGTTCATTGGTATTGACTTAGCCACTGATGCAAACTGGGACTTCACCATTCCGAGGACGTTTCACATGATCATGAACATCATTGAGGAAGGCCTGGTTGATGTTGCCATTGGTGGACCCCCATGTTCAACAGTTGCACGAGTAAGACATGTACGTATCCCCTCGGGGCCCAGGCCACTTCGTTTTAGATGGTGTGTCTGGGGACGAGCTGACCTCAGACCATATGAACAGGCCAGGGTTGACGAAGCGAACACACTCTGGTTGAACTACATGGCAGTGTGTGAGGCGGTGTCGTCCAGAGGGGGGGTACATTGGTGGGAGCATCCAGCTGACCCAGGCAGAGATCCTTATCCATCCATCTGGATCACGGAGGAGATGATTGGCTTGGAGCGTCGCACAGGCGCAACCAGGGCCATCTTCCACCAATGTCCATTTGGGGGCGAGGTTCCGAAGCTGACGTGTTTTTCAGGGACGGTCATGAACTTGAGCTCACTGAATGGTATTTTTTGTCCAGGTGTCAGCGAAACGCACTCCCACGGGCAATCCATGGGAAGAGACCCCATGGGAGGCTTCTCCACCCGCAGGCTCCAAGCTTACCCTAGTGATCTTTGTTTGGCATTGGCAAAATTGCTCATCTACCACCTCCTGGTGTTGAGAGACAAACAAGTGGGCCCAACTGGCGCTCTTTGCCAGGCAGAGGCGGTGCCAGTGCTGCGCGTTCCAGCCTGGAGCACGTGGGCTTCTCAAAGAGGCGAGGGGGTCGTGCTGTTGAATGAGGCTAGTACTAGAAGTCAGTCAGCGCGCCTGTCCCCAACATCAGCAGTCTATGTTCATGTTGACGACACGGTCTGCATCAGTGATGGGGGAGCCAGGCACCTTGATGCGGACAACCTGATGGGGCACGTCGTGAGTTCGTTGGAGGCGATCGGATTCGGGGTGTCCCAACAGGAGAAGAATGATGAGGTCAAGAAGGTGGTAGGTTATGAGGTGAGTCGACATCTGGCCAGCTTCAAGTTCCCCACCAAGAAGATGGTGCTCCTTGCAGATTCCCTCAAATACCTCACATCCAGGAAGAAGGTGCAGGTGAAGGTATTGCGCTCACTGCTAGGCCTATGGATCTTTGGTGCACTTTTGCGCAGAGAACTACTGTCCATACCTCATAGTGTGTTTCAATTCATTGAAGAGTTTGACGGTCAGACAGTTACATGGTGGCCCAGCGTGAGAGAAGAGGTCATTGCCATGGCCAGAGTGGTACCCCTTATGTCGTGTCATGTAGGTGCAAGCTTCTTGAAGTGGTTGTTTGCAACGGATGCCATGGGCATGAACGACGTCGACTTAGGTGGCTACGGGATTGTCATGACCCCTCTGAGCGATGCTGAGATAGAAGATGTTCTCCGCCAAGGTGAGTCAGAAGGCAGGTCAATAGCTCGTTTGGATGGAACTGGTGGGGCTAAGTTTCCTGACAAGGCACTGAAACCGACAGTTCCCTTCACACTGCTGCCTGATTCACTACTGACGGAAGATCGCTGGCATTTTGTAGAAGCGGGCCGCTGGCAATTTGGCGACCACATCACGGTGGGGGAGTCTAGAACAGTGGTCAGACTTCTGCGCATGTTGGCAAGCTCGACAGAGTGTCATGACAAGGTCGTGTTTTCCCTCCAGGACAACAAACCCACAGCATACAGCATGGCAAAGGGAAGAAGCCCGTCTTTTGCTTTAAACCGTGTTCTCCGAAAGAAGGCGGGGATTTGTTTGGCAAGCCGCATCAGACTTTTCCTACCGTGGCTAGAGTCAGGCAGGCAGCCGGCAGATGAAGCATCTAGACTTTACCCAGTATGAGGGTGGCAGATGTGTGCTCATGCATACGTCGGCTGCACCCAGACCTAGGAGCCAGAGTGAAGAAGGAGACTTTACAGAATTACAAGAAGGCACTTGACCCCTTCTTGGAATACTTGAACGAAAAATGGGAGTTGAACGTTATTGAGCCTGCAGACATTGACTTGTTGGTCATGGAGTACAGGAGCGAACGGGAGCTCACTAGAAGCCAGCATATTCAACTGTTAGCAGCGCTAGAATTTTTCATGCACACCTGAAGGGTGCCCTGATCTATACTAAAGAGGCCATTAAGGGGAGACAAGCTGCTGAGCCGGTCCGACACACGGTCCCATTGGCCCCAGAGGCTGCGTATTTGTTTGGGGCATTTCATGCCTCTCGTGGGCAACAGCGACTGGCGGCAGCTATTTTTGTGCAACTAGCCACTGGACTTAGGCCCTCGGAACTTCTTGGACTCACCACTGACCATGTGTTCGTGCCCCTCAATCTCCGGCAGTTCATCAACATTAGGTTGGGAGTTGCGGTGTCCACCAAGATCAAGAGGGAACAATTCGTCCAGGTCAACCCTTTGGAACAACCATTGGCCTACAAACTGATTCGGCTGCTTTGCGCGGCTACAGTTGAAGGGGGCAAGCTTTTCAATTTTTCGTATTCAGCATACAACAATTCGTTTGCCGAAGCCGAGAGACATTTTGGACTCGACCTACACCTCACTGCACACTCAGGCCGTTCGGGGTTCGCCACCGGTCAAATTATGAAAGGCGTTGATCCGAAGGTTGTTCAAGCTGCGGGGCGCTGGTTGTCTGAATCGAGCTTCAAGACATACATTGACACGGCTGGAAGCCTTCATGTTCGCACACAAATTTCTTTCAACAATTTGCTTGGTGCAGCCACATGGTGTAAGCAACACATTGAAGAGTATTTTGTAGGCTTGTCGTGTCTTGATGGTGAAGCCCAGTCGTCAAGACTCAGTCGAAAGAATGAGTCGGCCAGACCTCCGGCTGAGGGAGAATCGTTTCCTTCTGCCTCAACCTCCCGAGCACCTCAGCGCATACCAGAAACGCAAATGGAGGGAGGAGCAGCTCGACACGTTGCTAACTCCGTCAACAGCGACGGGATCAGGCAGCGCCAGAGGAGCGGCCGCGGCACTTCCTCAGGCAAGGGCCAAAGCGGGAGCTCAGCCAAGGGCCGTGGCAGGGGGAAACTGCTACCGCCTGGTCGGGCACCTCAATCCGTTTTCGAATAGGAGGTGTCGACAATGGTGCAAGTCCTTTTTCAAGACTTTCGGCTTCGTGTTTGTCCTCGCCAGTTCGCTGGTCTTTTCGGGGCACCACAACCCACTCTTTCATGTGGCCCGCATGTTTGGTGCAATGGCAGATGTGGGAGAGGCCACATCTGCGGTGACAGTCCATGCCCTCAATCTCACGAATCAGGTTGCATTCGCTGCTACTTCATTTGTGGCAGGTGCGGCCAACAACGGCTTGACAGCAGGCGCCAACCTCTGGAAAGGAGTGGACTTGGGGCCGGCGCAGGCATCTCGTTGTGGCGGATCGGTTGTAGTGACCTCCACTAAGGTGTTGCAACATTGGCTGAACACGCCCACGGCGACTGCCCACTTTGGTTGCCTAGACCAGGGTCTCAAACAACGTCTCCTCATGGCTGTGGCCTCCATTCAGCCAGACCTCCCATACACTCAGGCTGTGTCAGATGACCTGGACCTGCGTGGTACCTTCATGTCATTGAAGGTGGGAGCTCAGAGCATGGATGAATTTCGTGCCTTGGTCTATTTTGAGTACATTCAGTTGTCTTTTGACCCTCGGTGGGCCAACCCGATGTGGGAGCAACTTGGATTCCCTTTGTCCACCGAACGGGAACAAATGCTCAAAGCACTGCGCCTCCTCCTGTTGGAGCTGCCGGCTCCTTCACAACAGCCTGTGTTGGCCTATGCGGAGCTGGATGCTTTGCCGCTGCCGTTGCCCGCACCTTGGCAAGATGAAATTATGACATGGTTGATGACTTGTTCATGGACAGCTCCGCTGTCGGTGCGACCCCTGTGCAAGCTGTGAATTCCTCGTGGTTCACATGGGGAAGCTTCGTTTTCGCCTTTTTCCTTTGCAACGGCTTGAGAAATTTGGTGAGGGATTGGCTTTTTCTACGAAACTGGTCGGCTAGAACCCCTATGATCTGCCAAAGTGCCTCAAACGGCCTGGATGAAGACAGACACGGTCGGGGGGCGCTCGTCGGCAGTCGTCCGGGCTCTGCGGTACACACCCCTCGGTCACTCACCACCATTTGCTCACCTACTCCTAGTGAAGCTTCCTTTCAGCTGGTGGAGGATTTGACAGTGGACCTGACAGAGTGATCGCTTAGCGGGGAAGGGAAGAGCTGCAATCTCACACGCTCGATGCCAGATTTTGAAGGCCGATGGCATTGGATGAACAGCACAGCTTTTGCACAGATACCTCAAGGTATACAACTGAACTCATGGACAAACACCAGCTAGGCAGCCAAAAGATGCGGATGAACCTCTTTGGCTGCTGAGGGAGGGTTGTGGTGGGCATGAATGCGCGCAAGTCTTTGTGAGATTCAAAAACTATATATATATATAATGAGGGAAGCGGTTGACCATCATGTCCAAACAGAGGAGCATCTATAGTCTATAGGTGTAAGTAGATGAGTTTCGGAGTTTGGAATATGTATGGAATGTTTACGGGCCGCTCACCAAGTTGACTTTGACCATGCCTTGAAAGAGGTCAACGGAACGTGAGGGCAATTGTCACCTTGCCTTGTCACAGAATGGTTTGCTCAATCGTGAAGGGTTTGTGGGCTCCAAGCCATAATTTTGTCTACCCTCCATCCAACAAACGTCACATGGAAGCGGAGAAGCTCCCTGTGTGTTTTTTGTGTCTTCGGGGCGAGGAGAATAGACATTGGGGCGAGGGTCCATGTCCACTTCCATGATTATTTGGAGGGTAGAATGGGGGTAAACAAATAGCAACAAACAATAACCAGCATGGGGTTTCTTGAGTGACCAACCACCTGAACTTCTCCCTGATCAGACAACCAACCTTGGTACGGCGCTGAGGCTCACAGGCAAAGGTCTCGCCCATGGCTTCGTAACGGGGCCCATCCCGGTACCTTGTAGAAGGATGAGAAGGAGTGGACACTCTGATGTGGAGGGTTTGGGAAAATGGACGGTTTGGATATGGGATGATATGGCTGTGGGTCAAAACCTCTCCCAAGAAACCCTGGGGGGTTCACCAGTAGGTTCACCAGGTTTTGACCCACTGCCATATGGATCCACGTGGGATGATGACGGGTGATCACGAGTCATCTCGGGTCTGCGTTGCTCAGTCTTTGAGGGGTCCCTATGAGTGCCTTCTTTTTGGGTCGACTTGGAATTGTCAATCACCCTTTGCTTGTCGTGGCCCCTTGTGACACAAAACCTGCGGCGCAAATGAGTGAAGACATGTGAAGACGATGAGGTCATAGTCGGCAAACAAACAACAATTTGATAAATCTTGAGAACGACATGCTTGATATAAATATCATATCTCTCGATCCATCTATCCATCTCTCGATCGATCTATCGATCTATCGAATCTATCTATCTATCTATGGTTCAACTCCAAAGTATCACCGTTGCATCGTTCGCTTCGCTGCAGTGGCCCTCATCAAACCCTCACTGTACTCATAGCCACATTGAATCCTCTGTTGTTTCGTGGCAAAGTCTACGTTCAACTCAACACCCAAATTACAGCAATAGGTTGGTTGCGTCGTCAGATCGTTTCATTCATGTTGAAGCCCCGAAAGAACTGTGGGGTGGTCATGTCTTGTGTTGAACGTCTCAAGCCATTAACCCTCGTTATGCCCAGCGCATTAGCCGCCCCAGGCATCGAAGCTCCAGGAGTTTGAGGCAAGGCTGCTAGTTTTGCTGGTTGCTCATGCAAATACGTACCCGAATGTGTTGACTCAAAAGCCAAGGTTGAAAAGCGGGTGACCAGCGCTCTTGTTTGTTTGTTTTGTTGGGTTTTTCACACAGGCACAATCCACTAAGGATTCAATTGGACTAATAAAACCTTTGAGAAGAGCTGGTACGCAGAGTTAGTACACGGGGATTTGTCGCTGTTGCTGTGCAAGAGATGGTTGCACCGTCGGAGATTAGCACAGTGAAATTATGGGAGGTCCCCATTCTTTCTTCCTTCTTGGTTGTGCGCATCAGGAATCATGAAGAGTCAAACGTATTGCATGATATTGTTCAAACACATGTTACTTTAACCAATAACTGAAAGCAAGTGAACAGTTGTTTGGTTGCATAGGATTGTAGGGATTTCGGATCCCATTCAGTGTTGAGAACTGCCCATCGGCTCGATCCCATTCGCGTGAGGTCTTCGCGCTCCAACTGGCTCGATCCACCGAGCGCAGCACATTTGCGCAGCCGGCGCCTCGGAGCAGAGCGGACTTACCTGGAAAAAGGCCTGGTGGACGGGCGTGCTGGAGCACGAGGTCTGAATATCATTGAATATCAGCATATCCCTATATATATATTATATATGTATATGAACATATGCTTGTCGATGCAATTTGGTGGGGCAAGGGAGATGGATCAGATGAGCTGACCAGACTTCTTCGGCAACTCTTGCTTCTCACCAGCCTAGAACATGGCAACATCCTTCTCCCAACGTTTGACAACCCAACCCTAAAACAACGGATCTTGACTCTTAGTCTTCGTGATCTTGCCATAAGCCGCCGCCCCCGCCGCGAACATCCGGAGGTGTTTGGTTGACGTGGAGATCTCCGGCCGTGAGGATGAGATCAGCAAGTCAAAGCGCTTGCGATATCTCCGAATGACGCTGGGCTGGGCTCAGGAGTTTTCCGCGAAATGAGGACGTGGCTGATCTGTTTAATGGGGAACATGTGACTTGTGGGGGTTGGGGACTCCGAAGTTCTACGGAGGTGGCTGGGCTGGGAATATGCCAAGAGCTTGCATCGTTGTCCCATTGGCAGAATAATTACTCGTAGCTTAGCAGTGCTTATATTATATGTATGTATATGAATGTACGCCCCCGGAAATAAAGACGAGCGGGGTTGCATTCTTTTTTCCATGAGATCTCGGCTCAAAAGTTGATGGTCCCGTGCCGGGATTGCGGACTCCTGACCGGGGAGTTGAATCAGCTCTGCGTCTACTGCAGAGTCAGGAACCGTTTTTGGGCCACTGCTGACGAGTTGCCCACAGAGCTTTGCGGGTGGGGAGTGACAACACTCCGCGTGTGGACAGGGATCTTGCAAGAGGAGATCGACAAGTTCAACGAGACCCGCAGGGCTAAAGAGGGGGCAGCTCAATCCGTGAGGCCCAAGTCGGCCAGTCCCGGCGTGCCATCGGAGCCGGTGGATACTCCCAGGTCGGGGAGTCAGGTTTCAGGGGCAGACCAAGGCAAAGCATCTTCCAGAGGTTCTCCTGTGCCGGGGAGGGCTAGCAAAGGTGAGGAGGACGAGACAAAGAAGGTCGACAAAAGCTGGATCCCAGTGAAGAAGGAAGAGGATTGGCCTCGGACCCCTCCTTCTGGGGAGGTTGGTGTCGTTGAGATCGAGGAAGGAGAAGGCAAACATTCGAGTTCCTCGAGGGTGCATTTGGAGGAGAAGAAGAGGAGACGATCCAGGAGGAGAAGTACCACAAAGAGTGGAAGCCGAAGAGACAGGAAGCGGAAGAGCAGGACTCGCTCGAGGTCAAGGCATCGAAGGAGGAGGTCATCAAAAGGATCCCCGCCTAAGGCGCCGCCAGACGAGAAGCCTGGTGAGGAAGAGAGGAAAGAGAGAAAAGCGAAGCCATCAGTGAGGCCGCCAAGGACCCCATCAAGATCACCCCCCGGCAGGCACAAACCGCCAGCCAGGAAGCCACCAGCTCACCCTCGACCATTAGCTCGACCGTCTGGACGTGCTTGGCAGGGCCCGGGCAAGCCGCTGTGGAAATACAATCCACGGTACTTCGGAGAGAACAAAGGTGTGAAGAAAAGGGAAAGGCATATCAATCGCTCCCAGGGCGATCAGTGAGAAGGAGAGAAGAAGAGACATGCCGCCAAGGCTTCGGCCAGCAGCGGATTTGAGAAGGCCTCCCGCTCGGGGAGGAGGAGTGAGACGGCGTCCTGCCGTGCGAGGAGAGAGAGAAGAGTTGGAGGAAGGCAGAAGAGAGGTTGGTGAAGGAGTTCGACTTGCTGAGATAGGGACGCAGTTCGAAGCAGGCGAACAAGTGCAATGTCAGAAGGTACCTTTAGAGGTGCTCAGGAGGAGGCTCCCGGTGTACGTGGAGGGAACGTATTGGGGGGCCCGGACTACGTTGGCAGGCCTCGTCGAGAACTTCCACGTTCGGTCCATGAAGGATGTGGAGTTGGAAGTGACCCCACAGGGCACCAGCGAGGAGTCGCTCTTGAAGTGGGCCTCAGGTCACCCAGGACAAAAGGTCAGGATCCACATGTGCGGGGACGAGTGCACGGAGAAGCTGGAGGCAGAAGATTTCGTGCATGGAGTCATGATCCGAAAGAGATCTGGAGAAGACCCGCCATGGATGACCAACCTGATCGACGAGGCTCCGAAGTCAGGAGGAGGCAGCACAGAGGTTCTCCTGAGGCGAGAAGCCGGGAAAGAAGGACGAGAAGCGAGGAAGGTCGGCAGAAAGGAGCAAGAAGAAGAAGAGAAAGAGAGAGGGAGAGCGAGGCAAGAGTCCGGCCAAGGCAAAGGAGAAGATCGATTTGAAGGCAGGTGCAAAGAAGGAGGTGAGCGCAGCCTTTGGAAGCACCGGTCTCGATCCAGACCCAAAGTATCGGCGGAGGTTCGCTGCCCGAGCCCAGAAGAAGGCAAAGAGGAGGAAGAAGAGCTCATCGTCAGATGGCAGCACCAGCAGCCAAAGCTCTTCAACGTCCGAGTCCGTGGAGGTCTTCGAGGAGCAACAGAAAGTCAGGCGTTTGGCGAAGAGAGCACCTGGTCTCCTGGCTGCACAAGCCATGAAGGAAATCCAGACTTCCCTGCTCACGGCAACCGGAGGAGTGTGGGATCAAGATCAAACGGCGATTCAACCTCTGGCGACGCAGTATTACAGGCAGACGTTGGCCCCAAGGCTGACAGGAGGACCAGGGCGCGAAGCGCTGACGCTTTGCTGGGCGATAGATCTCGCCCTTCAAGGACGACTGGCGGAGTGTGTCGACACGCTAGTTCAGAGATTGAAAAGTGTGGAAATGGTGTCACAGGGTTCGGCATGGCAAATCGCCCAGAGACTGGAGGTTTTACCTCCGGAACGCCCAGCCTTATCTTCAAGAGCGGAAGCCAAGGAGGCAATAAAAGAACAAAAAGAAGAACAACGCACCAGAAACGAGGCAGCGAAGGGAAAAGGGAAGTCCGAGCAATGGCACTGGCGCGACTATGGAGGAGAAGATCGACCAAAGGGCCGGGACTCGAAAGGGAAAGGAAAGAAGGGCAAAGAGAAGACAGACCCAAAGAAGTAGAGGCCGAGGATATGAAGATTTTGAGTACAGAGGAGATGGATCTCCGATCTTTTGGTGCTCCTGACATCGGGGAGCGAAAAGAGGATTTGCAGCAAGGGCCGCTGGAACGTCATGTCGACGGGAGCGACTCTACCCCGACTGGAGATGGCTGGCCGAGTAGCAAGGTCACAAGTCTGCAGTCGAAGCCTGGTGAGACCTCGTTGATGAACTCGCCAAGGGAAAAAGTTTGCACGAGTCCGCCGGGGACGGGAAGTAGTTCCCCGGTCTGGCGGGGCCCGGGACCACCCAGGTTCTACGGCTCA